AAAGTCGGAATTATGAGACTCCTCCTCCCTCTTTTCCTCTTCGCGGCATATGCCCAGGCCCAGCTCATCTTGGGAGCCCTCGCCCTGATCGAGCTCACCATAGAAGTCTTGAGGCAGCAGAGGTCGTCGCCACCATAGACGTCTCCGTCGACCTCGCCGTCACCGGCGCCGAAGCGGCTGAGACTGCCGCTGTCGAAGCTACCGTCACCAACGTAGGCACGACCGTGACCCGCGCCGGCGAGGCAGGCATCGAGCTCGAGGGCGATGCCGCCATGACCGGCTTCGGCCGCGTCTCCCGGGAGGGTCCCGGATTCACCCAGGGAACTTTCACCTACCGCCAGCAGTTCCCTCTCGGCGTCGGACCGGGTCGCCGCTCGACTGCCAACCCAGAGATCAGCCTGTCATGGGGTGCCCGGACCAACGGTGTTCGCAGCGGAAACACCAACAGCATCCAGTTCACCAACCCCACCATCTCCAATGTACGGGCGCTCAACCCTGGTGGAAAGGGCACTAGCATCCGTGTCCGATCCTCCAACACTAGACTTCTCGCCCCGAAATAGATGGAGCTATGATTTTTGGTCTTGAGTTCATTCCAGAGAGGATACTAGGTCGTTTGTGGTGTTCTTGCCTGGAAGAAACGTCAAACTCGAGACTTGTGTTTGACGAAAGGAATGCGCTAAAGATAGCTCCATACACAATGGATACAAAATATTCCGCTCAAATGATCCAGATCCGATTGCTCTGATATAGGCAAGATGGGCGTACATGTTCCATCACATACGAGAATGAAATCAAGCTACATGTGTGGGTTAGTTATCGCTGCTACGGCGGTGGGCACTCATGACCTTACTCCTTATGCGTGCATGTCTCGCCAATCCCCTGTTGCAGCAATGAGAACTTGAGAACCAACACACAGCTGGTTTACACCATGAAGCGAAACAAAACTCAAAGCGTGAGATGGTAGGCTTGCTCAGCTCACAGTTGGAGGCGGGCCATTGACAGTGACGAGTATATGTTCAAGCTAAGGTACTGATTTCTTTCTCCCGTACAAAAGCCATATCCTGGCGGCCTGTCCTGAACGAGGAGAAGGATCGACGTCCGTCCTATGTCTGCATCTAGATAAATGAATGATATGTTACGAGTCGCATACGCTTGAATTGAATTAGCACTCATTGTTGTTTCAAGTTCTCCATTCGCCAAGGGCATTCCTGAGTATCCCGTCGGTTGCCTTGAAGTCTAGGCACCTGACCATCAAAGAACTCCAGGCAGGGGTTCTCTATGATTACTTCTACACGCTGTCGGCTGTACGATGTCTTACAGTCTGAACATCTTCCGGCGCAAAACGGAAACAGACCTTATTCGCCTTCAAAGTACTACTTCAGCACAGTCGCGCTCATTGGTTGCAGTTATGCCCTGTTAGTAAATATTCGCTCAGCATATCCCCTGCTCGCTTTCACGAATCTCCCGAACGTCTTTATTAACCTAGTCTTCCCCACGCTACGAGTTCCAAGCAAGCTTTGTACCACTTTTAGTTGCCGGTAGATCAGGTCCGTTGCGTAGAGAGAGTTCTATATGCGCGGAGCGGTTTGAACATTAAGTTACGTGATACCTCACTTTGTTGGCTGTGAATTTGGACTGAAAGTTCAGGTCCAAGTCCGTCGTCGGCAGTAGAATAACTTTAGTTACGTTTGCAGCGCTTCATGTGGGTTTGCGGGGGGAGAACGGCCATCCAACTCAAGGTTTTGCGACATGCAGGCTCGGCTGCAAGAATCTTAACGTCATTTTTCAAAGGAGTCAACGACACATTACGAAAGTGCCATTCGCTCTGACTTCCGGCTCAATTAGAGACTCAGGAATAGAGATCGACGTATGTTCAATCTTAAAGCAATGCAATTATAGCGGGCTAAAGATGCTGGCAAAGTCTCCCGCCGGCTTCTGGGGTTAATCGGGTCGCCATGACTCTCAACACAAGATGCCTTTGCACTTGACGCCTCACCCCCCGAGAGCATATATATGAGGACATCCGGAGGGCATTACCTACGAGATCTCTCTGCATGTCAACTGAAGCTGGCCATGGTTAAAATGGATCTACCTTCCGCAAATGGAGGTTACATACGTATCTGTCAGGCGGAATTGAATTCAGCGGAATGAACGCTACGTGACGAAGTCGTTGAAGACCTTGTCAAAGCGATGAGAATGGGAGGTTACCAACCGCTGAGAGCTACTTACGTTTGATTTTCGATCTTTCAGCATTCAAAATACTAACATCTAGCGATGGAATAGCCGGTTGATTCCTGGACTGGATTCTAGACTGACCGAGATGATGTGATAGGCTTTGCAGCCTCGCATTAGCTGCTTACTGAAAAAATAGTTGAAGCCATGATTGACTGAGTGACCATGCGTTGAGAACTGACCAGAAGCATGATGTTGGTAATGGCCCTTATATTACATAGCGGCATAGCCGAAGGCATCCCGCCGGCTGGCTTGGGTCCCGCCCCCACAGCATGTTGAAATTGCCATTAGGGGGTGAAAAAGAATGCCGATTTTGTTTTGCGGTGAATCGTCGCCCGAATCATGTGTGGTAAACTTTGACACATCTCATCTGACATATTCATGGCAAAGAATAGACTTCTAGCTAGTCTAACGTCAACGGTAGCCTCTAAGAGTGATGTTGGCTAGCGCAATGGACAGAGGTCACTTGAGTCTCACGTGAAATCGACCGATAATCATCTTCCTTCCGTGAATATCTCAGAAAGCGGTATCTCGCTCCTATGAGGCCGGAGACAAATGTCAAGTTTGATCCTCATTGGAATCGCTCAAGTGGTTCTGCTATTATTCTCTCTAATATGCTGACTGACTCATAATCGGAAAAACGTATAAGCACGAGCAGACAGCCTGCACCTTTGGGCTGTTTCTTTTACTAGCGGACCCAGCCTGCGAGTCTGTGTTCCTCGAGAGCATATATCTTTAAAATCAGGATCCTGATAGTAAGGGTGGCCTCATGGTATCAAGATTTGAAAGCGACCTTAGAAACAATATCCTTTAACGCATTCCTGTAAAGGTATCAGCTTTGCAGTGGTAGAGTGACTTGATTCCCGCATAGTACGAACCGCAACAGTGTACGCCACGCAAGTCTGCAAAGACGATCTATTAGCGATTGAGACACAGTAGCATGGGTGTAGAATGGCGTACACATCCTGACGAACTCATCGAGCAACACTCTTGGGGGGCATCGCGGACTGGATGGGGGTGCCCCCGGACAACCTTTGAGCCTGAGGGGTCTTTTGCGACCAGAGCCGCAGTAGCCAGTGATATGAACACGAAGAAAATGCCTCCCTTCATTCTGAATAGTAGGATAGCGTAAGCAATTGAGATAAGTAGGTAATCAGTACTTAATAAGAAGGCCGTGAAGTTCGAGCAAAAGCCTTACCACGGTTCATTGTACACCACTCAACTTATAGCTTTGGCCAGAAGGTCTGTCAAAGACGTACCAAACGGCGGCTATAATTCCGTACTTTGCCTTCAATCAATTTGAGTTTGGTTCCTGGGATAACAATGACTCGTCTGCTTTGATAAAGAATTGTGGTAGAACAACAGGTTTGTTTCGTTACAGTAGGAAGGGAAATCGGGCGATTTCGCCTTACAGATCAATTATTACTATGTGGACAGCCGATGTTCCGAGTGTTCCATTCCGTAGTGGCCCGATCTCCGCTGATATCTCACTAGAAACATGCTCTAAGAAGCTTCAATGGTTGTGAAATGATCAGCGAGGACTGAAGGCTGTATGAATTGTATGGGCGGGCCACTTCCGTCTACATTCATGACTGCCACGGGTCCCAATCTCACCCACATCACGAGAATATCGAGTCATAGCAAAATCCACCTACAACCTCAGCAAATGGCATGGGCCGCGCAAGCCCTTTCGAAACTCATCACAGTAGAACCAAACAGAGACGTTGATTACATGTGAAGTATCAAGACACTCTGAACAGTTCTTTGACGGCGCAAATTCTGATTTTGCCTGGCTAATCCCCTGAGCCGCTGCCAGCCTAAGACTTTCTCACAAGTACCACCATAGTTACGACTGAGCCGAAGATACCTAGATTCCTAGATACATATCTCTTTCGAAGATCATCGCATACGAACAAATCAGCAAAGTCTTTGTACATTGCATACGGTCTACTCGGTTCCCTCTTCGTGGGATCAAGTTTTGCGAGGCACCAAAAAGATTTCGAGAGCATGCCGGTGATGATAGCACAATGTGCAGTGGAATTAAAGTCTCGGACATTAATTTCAATGTCGAAGGTTCTGAAAGTTTCTCCACGATGTCTGACAGGTTTGGCGCTTTGGTAAGGTGAGATTATGATAATACACCACCGAAAGCGCATTAATCACAACCGGAGACCTCGATGGTGTTGTTTGACAACATTTTCGATAAGTTTGTTCCCTCAGAAGGAAATTCTGTTATGGGCATATCCAGTACCTAGGACCTTGGACAGGCAAGGAAATCATAAACCTTGTGCAAAAAGCTAGAGAAAAAGCCGGGGAAAGCCGGGAAACGTGGATTAACATGTGAACCAAAAAGAGACGATCACCGCGTTTTTATTTTCTACTTGACCTTTACGTTTTCGAAGAACACTACGGAGACGCGGGCCGACTCTGGCTCTACAAGATTATGTCAGCAGGGCTTGGAAGCAATCTACGGAGCTATTCCGAGAGATGGCCCGGCTTCAGAGGCGAGGAATAGACCTACCTTATCTCAAAAACCCTCGTTCCATCATCCCCTAGACTTCGAGAACTATTACGAGTACCCTTCAAAGGACGCCCTTCTCCGCAGGTTTCTCCGCTAGAACGTATGATATTCGAGCGATCGAAGTTCCCTGAGTGCAATAAAACAGACTTCACTTACTCTTTTGCCCAAGTCAATAGACTCACGCTGTTTCATTGGCACCTCTCCTCACTATCCACGAATACCCACGGTGCACTCTGTGTTTGACAAGATGGCATCGAATACGATCGAAGTTTACCAAGCTCCTTCCGGTTTACCAATCAACCAAGACTTCATCGTTGAAGCCCGGCCTTCAAAAGCATATGCATCGGGCGATGCTCCTCAACAATGGCGCCAGATACCGGCGTACGCAGTGGAAGTTGCAAACGCCAACATGACAAGACATACATTCAACAAACACACGGTAGCCCTAGCTTCCTTTGATTTAAATGCACCGACAACAATCAGTATTACATATACCGCGAGTGCCATTGAAACGGCAGTCATTCGGCCTCTCTCTTTGGGCATCACGGCGCAAGTCGAAAACGACAAGATTGTCTTCAATCTCGATCAACCACGAGATTTGATGATAGAGATCAACGGAGACAAGTGGAAAGCGCTTCATCTCTTGACGAACCAGATCGACAAAGATGCGCCAACGGCTGACTCCGAGGACATCTGGTACTTTGGTCCGGGCATCAATCAGGGCTCGGCATATTCCAAAGTCGCTGATGGTATTAACTTGATGGTGCCTTCAGGCAAGATAGTGTATCTCGCCGGTGGCGCTTTCATCACCTGTCGGCTGAATTTCATTGACGTATCCAATTCTTCTGTGCAAGGTCATGGCTTTATCCTTCGACCAGAGGGTGGGTACGTCTATCGAGAGCTTGGCGGCGCCATCACAATGAGCAGAGCCAGCAACATCAAGGTTGAAGGGGTCACTTCTCTTGGCGCAGAGGGCTTCAGTCTTTCCGCCGGAGAATGTCATAACATTCTCATCAACAGATACCGATCCTTTTCATTTTCGGGGAATGGCGACGGAGTCGACTTCTTCTGCTCTTCGGACATCACTATTGAAAATTGTTTCTTGCGAAACTCGGATGATAACATCGCGCTGTACTCCCATCGCTGGAACTGGTATGGTGACTCAAACAACATCACGATCCGCAATTGTGTGTTGCTGCCGGACATTGCTCATGCCATCAACATGGGTACACATGGCAACCCTGCCAAACCAGAAACCACCAGCAACATTCGCATCAGCAACATCGATATCTTAGACCACGAAGAGAATCAGGTATGGTACCAGGGATGTATTGCCATCAACGCTGCTGACGAGAATCTTTTCCATGATATCCATATCGAGGATGTCAGAGTTGAAAGAATCACGAAAGGGCAGCTTATCAACATTCGTACCATGCAAAACGCGACGTGGACTACTGCTCCGGGTCGGGGTATTCGGAACGTTCACATCAAGAACATGTCGGCAAACCTGAGAGACTCAAAGGCTTTCAATCCATCAATGATAATGGGATATGATCGAGATCGGATGGTGAAGAATATCACGTTCGAGAATTTGAGGATTGGCGAGGAGATCATGCATGAAGAAATGCCGAAGCCTAGGTGGTACATGGTGGACGATCTCGTGCCCATCTTTGCCAATGAACACGTCGAAGGGTTGAAATTCACAAAATCAGCAGAGTAGAGGGAGAATTCTCAATTGATTTTGGAGACCATCGGCATCTGGCAAATTCTGAGAATATTGAGCGCGTTTAGTGGTAAACTTGGAGTGACGATTTTCAGCATCTTTGAACTGAGTCTGCCGACATTCTCCAGAACACGTTAACCTCACATGCATCCCGGAAATACTCCTACATGATCAGAGCCAAGGAAGCCAACATTCCAGACAGCCAGGAAACAGGCATGAACTTCTCAGAGCCAGATGTAGGAACCTGTACGATTGTAGTTCCGGAAGGCAAGGTTTTGGTGGTTGATGAGGAGCGGGCAGTCTGAGTAGCTTCTGAAGCAGGGCCTTGGCTTGACGATCGAATTATTAAACCTGAAGTTGGCACCCATGTCAACTCCGATGCTGTTGCAATGGTTTCGGAAGCTAAGATTGTGCCTCCAATAGTGTTTGATTGCCCTGCTAGATGATTAGAACGCGAATAATGAGGTATATGTCAAGCAGCCCACAATTGACAGAAGAGGTTCCAACCTGGCCTGTTGTTGACGTTGGAAGCTTGTCGTAAGAGGACGTGAACTAGGAATGTTGTCTATCAGATTCATGAAGACGGTTGAAGTATCAGGAGTATTCAAGGCTTACAGAGCAGTCAGCCGTTTTGGTCGACAAGGTCCTGACCTCCGTACCCAAGGCTACAGTCGTTGCTGTAAAAGCTGCAAAGGCGCACGTAAGCTCTCTTCTCATCGTGGCTATAGGAACTTGTTGTTCTTGAAACTGGTAGGAAGTGCACAGAGTAAATTCAATGGCAAACGAAGGATGTCGAAGATGCAAAAGCGACTTTTGAGATCTGTGAGAGGACGTGGCAAGCTTGATCTTGAGCTTATGTACCTGGCTATTCATTGATCTTCCACCCCAGACAATTTTACTTACATCAGCCCAGTCGCTGAGAAAATGTCCGGTTTGGAATTCATTAGCTTACTCTTCAAGCAGAATCCGGAACCATCATATAATGAAGGTGCACTCGGTGGGTTCACTTAGTGATAAGCAAAATTTGACTCGTTTTCCGCATCCGTCGTAAGCAGTCGGATCACGAAGTGATGTGAAATGCTTTCGCCTAGACTTGCGGCTCGCCAGAAATAACATGTTATCGGCATTCTCCGGGCTCAGCGTGCCAAGCTAGGGCACATGCAGGGAATCTGTCTTGACTCGAGAGGAAAGTGAAGATTCGGAAGTCATGTTTGGGCAAGACGCATAGCCATAAAGTGATTAGTAGAGAAGTTATCGGAAGTTCAAGGATGCCCGACCACAAAGCATGGGATCCTAAGAGGCAGCTGACATGTGTCTTCACTGCCTTTTTTGGCCCTAGCAGCTCATATTGGCCTCTCTTGGACAGACAATACCCATCTTGGAAGTAAATCTCACGTGTAGTGAACGCCGCTTCCAGACATAACATGAGAGGAAATATGTAATGGAGACACGATGGGTCTGTTCGTCTCATCTCTAGCAAGTCTTACGCTCTCATCTAGACTCGTACCAGCTCGTCTATCACCACAGGTTCCTCGTCAACTTCGGCTCCTATTACTGGCTTCATGACCACCATGACATCGACCGGTACGCAGACGGGACTGACAACAATAATTCCTACCAACCCGGCTGGCACAACTAGCGTGATCACTTTTGTGACACCATCATCCTCTTCCACGTCTACTTCAACTTCGTCTTCCTCCTCCACTAGTCCGACCGCAAGCTGTACCCCTGGGCTACTCTGGGCCTACTATGGTCTTGCGCAAGCTCCAACAGAGACTGCTAGTAGCTCCGGAAATATCCCTTTTCACGGTAACGGCGCTGATGGTCAAGCAAACTGGAAAATGACTTATTTCAACATCAACACCGTGCTCTCTGGACAGAATCCTGATAACACGGGTCGTACAGCGACCATTGGTCTTGCACAGCTCTGCGCCACCACGACTCGGACCGTCTACGGAACCACAACGAGCGGGCAGTCCCAGTTCATGACTGTTCAACACATCGGATACTTCCATCCGGCCACTTCTGGCACGTATACTTTCAGCTTCAGTAATGTCGATGATGGTGTCTATCTTTGGCTAGGCAATAACGCCAAGACTGGTTTCACCAATGCCAATGCCAATGCCAACAAAAATGTCGACTACTACGTTACCAATAGCGCCGGCACCTACACGTTCACTACGACGGCCGGCCAATACTATCCAATTCGGCTATTATTTGTCAATGCACAGCAGTGCGGCAGCTTCACTTTCTCACTCACTGACCCGGCCGGAGGTGTGGTTGTCTCGAACTCTCAAGCCGTAGTTGGCGATCAACTCGTAGCTAGTTGCCCCAACGACTAGAACGCAGCGCCTTTTGGTTTCTAGATTGTCTTTGTTATTCTCCATTGTAATCTTTAAACTTGATTCGATTGAAAGCCGTTGCTGCAAGTAGATTGCTGATTCAACCTCTCAGGGAAACGTGCCTCTTCGGTGTGCAGTTCGTGGATACTACCAAAGCTCCCTGGGTGATACCGAGAATGTAACACCGGGCGAAGAGACCCTAATACAGAATACAACTGTTCATTGACTTCGCTCTTTATGCTCATTTTCCCGTCAAAGTGGAAGTGTAAAGCTGTCGTGTACACGACAAGAACATATTGATCACGGAGTATGATGTGAGGAATCAAAGGCTGAAATTTTTAACCTGTTCGCGAATTTGTTTCGGCATCGGGGAATGAGCCATTCGAATAAAGGTACCAATTTTGTCTAAAATGAGTCTCTGCCAAGGCTTCCTCGGCTTCGTTTGCGAGGCGCACTTCGACCAGGTCTCACGCCCCCGGAAATCCGGGAGAGATCTCGGTGTCGCCCGTGCCGATCATGAAGGATGGCCACGCAACGCAGCGCGCCGCGTCTTATCACCCCGCGTTTGTGGGGTTAAGCATGGATCGGGCGTCAGCCGGGGAAGATTGCGCCGGTGCTGTGTATGCACACTCTTTTGGGGTGGTATTGACGATGTACCATCAGATTCCTAATGTTGCCCAAAGGTTGGGTGGGAGACCTTCATATCATCAAATTGATATTCATAAGACTCTTCGTTATGTTCATATTTCAACTTTTGAGGCAATTCTTGGCATCGCACCTCTATCAGAGTTCTTCGGTCTCAAACAGTCACCATGCATCTTAAGGCCGCTTTCCTCTTGCCTTTATTGTCATGGAGCGTGACAGCTTCACCTTTCGAGAAGCTGCATGGCCTGAATGATACGTCGTTCGCTCATCCAGGCTCTCTTCACTCCGCGAAAGATTTCGCAAGAATCAAAACCCATGTTCAAGCCCAGGATCAACCCTGGTACCGAGCCTGGCAGCATCTAGAAGCCGGAAAATTGGCTCAGACCTCGTGGAAGCCAACGCCGCAGTCGGTTCTTGTTCGTGGCACAAACGCTACCTTTGCGCCCACCAACAACTACGGCTATGCCTATCGCGATGCTCACTCAGCGTACCAGTTGACCATTCGATGGCTGGTTGGAGGTAACACTTCCTACGCAGACCACGCAGCCAAAATCCTCGACGGCTGGAGCTCTACCCTTGTCGATATCAACGGCACTGAAGACAAATATCTCGCGGCAGGGCTCTACGGATACCAGTTTGCCAACGCCGCCGAGCTCCTTCGTGGATACTCCGGCTGGCCCAAGCAGAACCAGACGGCCTTTGGCAAAATGTTGAACGGCGTCTTTGCGGTGTACAACCACGACTTCCTCGAGCACCACTACAACAAACCGGATTTCTACTACGCCAACTGGGACTTGTGCAACATTGCCTCGTTGATGGCGATTGGTATTTTCAACGACAACAGAACCATGTACAATTACGCGGTCAACTACTTCAAGAACGGGATTCCGGGCCAGCCAGAGGTTGTGGCTAATGGTGCCCTGCCCTATTTCTCAATCGCCAACTTCACGGAGCAGGGTAGCGGAAAGACTCTGATGCAGATCCAGGAGTCTGGCCGTGACCAGGGGCATGCTTTACTCTGCATCGCTCTCATCGGAGTTATCGGGCAACAAGGTTGGAACCAGGGAATTGATCTCTTCGACACCTTTGGCCGCCAGATCCTGAACGCGTGAGTTCTCTTTCTGTCCCACTCCAGATTTTCTGGCAGGTCGCTAATTGAAGCTAGCGCCGAGTATGTTGCCAAGTACAATACCAACCACACTGTTCCTTACACGCCTTATCGTAGCTGGGAAGGTGTGCTGGAGGTCGTGGCCCCAAAAGCTAGGTTTGATGTACGACCTGGTTATGAAGCTCTCTACTCCCACTACGCGGAAGTCAAGGGTCTCAATGCCTCATGGTCAATGGAGTTCCGTGACTTTGTCAATGGCAACCTGACCGCCAACATTGAAGGCGGCGGTGGTGACTACAGTCCGAACTCGGGTGGGTATGATTCGTTCGGACATGGAACTTTGCTGTATCGCATCGATAAAGATAGTTAAGCTCCAGCCGAAAAGGGTGTGTTGCTAAGGTATTTGAGTCAACACCAAGTTGAAAGTCGATACAGGGTAAGTATGAGGCGAAGCAATATCTAGGAAGCATTCCTGTCGTACGTTCGTCTGCTCAGCTGCTGCAATCATGATTTCCCATTGCGTGCACCAAGTTGAAACAACTGGCTCGCGACTTCTCAATCCCAAATTTATACAATAACTATGTTTTCCCATACGTAACACTCATCCCATTTCCATTTTATTTGGCATCAACAACATCCATCGATAAGTCTTGCGTCCGCCTTAATCACGAAGCCTCATATAGTTCAAGCTTAAAGCTGTTTCATTTCTGAGGTCGAGCTTTCATTACACTAGAAGATGCTCTCTAAAGACTGCCTGTAAGGGAGTCGCAATATGGAGTTCTGGCGCATCAAGAGCTCACCCTGCCCCTCACCTCACCAAGGTGATGGCCGAACCAAGCCTCGGGGACTTCAACCCTTTACGAGCTAACAAGTATGGTGCAAACTTTTTGAATTACTAGTTTCAAGATGTTAAATTCAATATAGAAGCGTGCAGCATCTAGTTTACAGTCGTTGCTTCAAAGCTACTTTAGGCCTTTCCTCTTTGAAACAGTATGATTGATCAACAACGCCGACATATCCATCCCTTTATTGGAGAATCGTAGCCGTTCCATTTCCCAAACCCTCAATATCAGATTTGACTGGCAAGGACCTAGGGAGTGAAGGCAGACCAGACTGTTCAGCAGAGAGCTGATCCTCAAGGTCCAAAGGGGCACGTCTTGGTATCTCTGTCTCATTGATTGACGATCGAGAGAGGCCATCCGATCCTGTGCTTGTGACATATCCGGAGGGCGGCTGACGAGTTCTCTCATCAAACGTCCGGCTGTTGTTGGTCGCCGATGAGCCGGTGGCGTTGTGCTTGACGTCTCCCAAGGTCGATGTATTAGATGCAGAAGCATTGTTGAGTGCATTTGTGCCTGCTTGCGGCAAGTCTCTCGCCTTATCAGCAGTTGTGTTGGTCGCGTTGTAGACCGTCTGTTGCCCGCTCCGAGCAGCGTTGCCGAAGGTCGTGCTCGCATCAGAAGCAGCTTGTTGTGCCTTAGAGGACAGCTCCGCCGTCTTTGCTTGTCCATCACGAGCGAGCTCTGCGCCCTTCTGAGCGGTCACGTTTGCCGCATTTTGAGCCTGCACAGTGGCGTCGTGGGCGATCTGCCGTCCCTGAGGCGAGGCTGCGAGAGGAGCAACGAAGATGGCGGTCACTCCGACTACAGCTGACCAAAACGGAGAAAGGACTTTAATGAGTGCATACACAGATGCAAGTCCGACGAATGCCTGGAAATAGGTTAGTCACTGAATTCTATATCACATGGCGAATTAAGTTTGTATCTAGTGTTCACTTACGCCAAACGTTCTTCCCAGGTCTTCGCCATATATGATCCGTTGAGCTTCTACCACTGCGTATTGAATAAAGTCGTGAACATCTCTCAGAGTGTTGTTGAGTGTAGACTCCGGCACTCTTCTATACTGTCTCGGTCGAAGGCGTGTGGATAAGGAGTCGGAACTGAAGGACCGGCTGGCATACTCAGCAGCAGAGACGGCTAGGAAACTTAAGCATTGGCTCACATGAGTAAGTGTGTCCAGTCTTACCTCCAAGAGTAGTGACCGCCGCCTTCAATGCCAATTGAGTGAGGGGTAAGTAGTGTGCCCCAAACAAAATGCTCAAGGTACCGATGTATACACCAAGGGTGCGTAGAGGATCTTCCCACTAATGTTACAGTTAGCAAAGCTCCAGTGCGGGCGCTACATGAGCAAGTACGTACGTTGATATACTTGTAGAAGCTGTCTTGCTGGGCTGGGTGAAGGGCTTTGTTAGCATCTTGTTTTAGTTGACGAACGAAGTTCACCCAATACCTAAAACCTGTCGCAATGGGCCCTCCTGCGTCGATCTTGGCGATTGTTCTTCGTTCAAGGCATTCTGAATTTTTGATGCAACTAAGAAGTTGAGAGAACAATTGTTAGTCTTCTAATCCACATATATTGCTGCCGTGCCTACAAAACTTACTTTGCGATCTTCCTTGGTCAGTACGATGAGAGCTATCAGCCGTTCCGGGCAAGACAATGACAGTTGGGTCAGCCATGATTATGACGTCGACGCGTGGATGATGAGGAGTTGGCGAGTAAATGTGGATAAGATCACGAACTCCACGGAAACGGGGGATTTGGAGCCTTCACACTGATTTTCTGAGAGAACAAGAACGACAAATTTCCTATCAGACAGCGGAAGCAGACTTTATGACCAAAGCCAAACATCCAAAATCTCCTAGACCACCTGTGACACGAAGGCGCAATCCTGGTGTATTGCACCACCGGTATGCGGTTACACGATGTGAGGGGAAGGGATTACGAAACCTAACGTTCGTGACGTACATAGCTGGTCATGGCGTATCCGCTAAACTATGGTAGGATTCCTCAATGTCAAAAAACGGCTCGCATATCCGCTGGAATCGAGATGCAGGACGCCGCGCTGTCATTGCCTTGACCGAGGTGAGGGGGAAACCCTTTGATATTCAAAGGCCCATTGACGTCGTTCGACGTTCATTTGGGGTCCGTTCCACTCGCAGCCCTGACGCGCTTTGATGACGAGGAGGCGGGGTGTCTCACCAGGACATCACGGCACTGGCATGCCGCTAGACTGGCTAGAGCCAAGATGATATTCGAAGGACTACTTGCTTATTTGCTCACATACTTATACCAGACCATGTGCGTCGACTACCTACCTCATGTCATTTCAGGGGCTGAAGTAGGTTTTAATAGGTCTATTCTTCTAGCTAGAATCAATAGAGCCGCAGAGGTACTTTCACCTACACGA